TATTATTATTATTATTATTATTAATTATTATTATTATTATTTATATTATTATTTATATTGCTAGAAGTAGCAATGGCAAATTATAAGAACCTAACTGATAACTATAGAAATAGTAGCTGATAGGAAGTATAATAAGGATTGAAAAAAATTTTGCCGTAAACTAAGTAGCTGCAAGAATTAAGTTATTAATGCTTATAAACGTAGTAAACTCTGAGCACTGAGTAGTAATTTGCTTCTGAAATAAGTTACAATGAGAAGGATTAGCTCATAATATCGGCCACAGATTAAGTGGGTTCTTCTCCCATGCCATCTAAACTCTTTTCTGATGACCAATCACTGTTGTCATTAGTCTTTCATACTATAATTGCGTGTCAGAGAAAAATGAATAGTAGGAAGGACTGAAAATGTCATCTTCTGCTTCTGATATATGCTTAGGTGTAAAAAAAAAAAAGGAAGCGCAGTAGAGAACGCATAGAAATTCGACAAATAAAAAATATGAAAGGTTCTGAAATGAAATAAATCAACTATAAAAATTGCGCTGACCACAAGACCCTTTCTCTGTTTGAATTAGAAAGAAAAAGAAGGCCATAAAGTTATTAAAATGACTACGTATCGATGCTTTGTTGATTATCTTTGTTGAATCTAAACGAAATGAATTTTAGCTGACAAATATCCAACAGAGGCATTTTGCAGAAGTTAGCCTCTAATGAAGTTTCAAAGTCGAATAGAAAAGTTCAGAAAAATGGAAGTAGTAGTGAGGCTATTATTCCCAACATCCAAAGGCATATTCTCAAGCTAGCCAAGAATACGTTTAGGGTTCGTAAAGTAGTCTGACAGCTTTGCAGTAGAAGTGCATACATTTCGAGATATTTAGTCTTGACTCAATATGTAAATGGATGTTAGAGAAGCACAGAGTGAAGTGAAGTGGACGGTCCTCCTCTCTCAGAATTGATAATTCAATAACTTATAGCGCCATTATACAAAATTGTTACAACATAGAAGCCTAGGGAAGGGTTAGTTATGATTTATGCATGCATTATCCACCACATCTCACTCATCCAATATTTCCGAAAGGGATTAAAGTGCGCAAAGCAAAATTGGAAATTAGTGCTCAATATGAATGACGAATACGAAACAAACAAGTATATACGAGATTGAAGTAGGCGGAATCGTTCCCTGGAACAACTGGAACAACATAATCAGGTTAGTTAAGAACAGTTACTTCACCTGGAAATTGAAATATATCTTTTTCATGGATCAATTCCATAGATTTTTCAACATGCACACAAACGTACTGAGATCACAGTTTCAATTGTTGTTTCTTCATTTAATAATAGCTATGTTATTCTTTTAGACGTGTCTCTTTCTATATGAAATCAAGTGAGTAATTTTATTTAACATTCTTAACAATTCAAATCATTTCGAATGAAATAATCAGTTATGCAACGATATTTTATCATTGCGATAACGGAATCCAAATTTTGGAAACTTTGTTTACCAGATAATTAGTAGTTATACATTGCTAAGTATTAATTGAACTATAAAGTATCCGAAACAGTAATGTGCAGTTATAAATTTAAACTTCTAAACTGAATTAGAGTGCGTTCTGAAAAGACTTTTCGGATTTTGGAAAGGATGTAAAAAGCAAATAGTTGATGTCGCTTTCAACACATTCATAAATTTTGCATTTAGCGGTCCGCGTAGTTAACAATCGACAACTTAATTAGTGGACTGATTTAATGGATTGTTTAAATTGAAGGTATTTGACCACTTTCCCAAAATGTCGTTCGTGTTCAGCTAACGAAAATACGTTTTCATTGAATGTCTGGGAATTACTATTTTCATGTTAAAGGCAATGTTATTTCTAAGTCCTAAATCTCAATACTTGGATATACTGGATTGGAGATTCGTAACTAGAATTGTAGTACCCTTCTACTTAGACTAAACAGAAAAGGAATAGCAGTTCACAGTAGCTTCTTTAAAATATCAGAAAATGAAATGAAAAAGCCAGAGGAATCGAGTAAAAATTAATTTATTAAGTATAAACTGGTATTGAATAAAAGCTAATTGTAAATCACGACATGAATCAACTTAGATTTAAACTTACATTTAAAAGAAATGAAACATTCAAATGTCTGCATATAGCGGCAGTTTTTCAAGCCCTTTAAATTTATTACTAAGGGATTTGCGGTAAGAGAAAAGCAAAGGCACAAAAATAAACTGCAAGAAAGAAAATGGCGTGATTTTCAGATGTCCTAGAAATTCAGTG